CCGGTGCCCCGGTGCCGTAGGGGGCCCACTCTTGGGCCCATGTGATGCCAATACAGTGGACCTGCTAACCCGTCTCCTGGCCGCACAGCTCTGTGGCAAGCTCTGTGGCAGCGTCCTTCAGCAATGTTTGCACAGCATTGCTTTGTGTCTTACCATACCCGTCACTGCTGCGATTGCAGAGCGCTCTTTTTCTAAGCTCAAGCTCATCAAAACATATCTGAGGAACAGTATGGGACAGGAAAGACTCCGGTTGGCAATTTTCTCAACAGAGAACAAAAGAGTCAGGAATTTGGACTTAAGCGATGTTGTCAGCGACTTTGCTGAGCGGAAGGCTCGCAGGATGAACTTTTAATGGGTGAGTACTAGGACCCGAATAGCCGAAAAGCCGACTATTCGTTTGCTGTGCTGGAATCGGGATATCAATTTTGATCCCTCCACCCCCGCCCCAAGAAAACGCTGCTTGTGTTCTATGTGTGTGAAAACATTTGGCCGCTGTGCCTTTGACGATGAATAATGAGTGTGATCAGATGCATTGTTTTCATCCATTCATACCAAGGCAGTGACAGAAGAAACGGCCCTTGCCCTTGAGACATGCCAAGTAGCGCTATGTTGTCCAGTGTCCTGAACTGTACATCTGATTAGATTATGGTACTGAATATCCATTATTTGTTTGAAGCAATAATGCAATTGACGATCACTGGTGAAATGTGAGCGTGCGCCATGAGTACTCCTTGCGTGGGATGTTCATGAGTTGTGAGTGTGCGCGCCATGCTTAACACACAAGGGGCACTTACTCCCTCATTGCATGTGACGTGCGTCTTAGACAACGGATTTTCTTCCCATGGTGACTTAAAAATTTGCACGTCTCACTCGCAAACTCCTTGCGGGAGGAGCAAGTTACGCTTGCTGCGTCGCTGTTCGCAGAGAATTCATAGAATCTTTTTGACATCTCAAAGATCCTCCCTATGTGCTTACGGGCTGTTTGCGACCTCTATATTTCACAAGACGAACATGCATGGCAGTACCATTTTGCATGTATTTTGGACACAAACAGGCCGTAGGAGCCCGTACGGCCGGTTGTGACCTAGGCTTAACATAGATATCTTGCAGGTCTTAACACTCACCCCATTTGAGCTGTTCAAGAGCTGGTTGAAGGTGTTGTGGACCGCTTGGTACGATTCCAGCTCAGTCTCACACAGAGAAACGAGGTAATCTTTTACCTGCTCATAGATCCTGCCATCTAAGACCTGCAGACAGACAGAAAAGTGTTTTAGGGTATACAGCACATGCGCGTCTCCCACCATCCACCCAAAGCATCAGATGTACCTTGATGCAGTCCATGAGGTCTGTGTTGTAGTAGCGCTGCTGGTGAGCGTTAGCGGCTGTTAGCGTGAGAAGGTAGTCGTTTCTGGAGTGGGTGGCTTTGGAGTTACACTCGCTCCTCTTGGCTTTCAGCTGGAATGTGGAAGTTAACACAGTTGACTGACTGCAGCACAAAATGTCACTAAACACAGAGCAGGTATTCCAATGCACATATCTCATACTTTTACGCTGGCCCTCTGGAGACTGGATCTGGACTGGAAGAGGCTTAGCTTGGACCTGGAACAAAAAAAACAAACAAAAAAAAAAACACAAAATGTAATGTCTGACACCATGGATGTAAATTTCAATTGAACACTGGGAAAGACATATGTAACAGGGCCCTAGGCATTCTCCTCCAGCATCAAACACTTAATGTCCTGCATTCTAGTGTATTTTTATGTACCAATTAGTTCTTTTTCAGCATCAGTTTATTGTGAAAATGTATAATTTATGTAAAGAAAAAGAAAATTCAGGCAAGCTGAGTAAACATGACAGCAGTTTTTCAAAATAAAGTCATTTGTTTTTTTAATGTTTTAATTATTAAGGGTAAAAATGCATGTGTTCTAAATACTGAGGGTGATGTATCCCCTGCATAAAACCTCAAATTTAATTGTCCTATTTCTTATATTTGAAGTTTTGGATCGGAGCAGAAATTTTTTCTGTGTTGTCAACTTAGCGTTCGCAAAGCTTGTGCAGTTTCTTGAACAAGACGCTTCTTAGGGTTTAAAATGATGCCAAACCTGAAGCAGCAGACTCTTTGTGATTAATGCAACTTAAATATAGAACTAAATTGAATTTTCTGCATTAGATGGAGCTGAACTGATGTCTAAATAACTCTTTTTTCATTGCTGAATGTTACGACTCCAAATAAAGTTTGGACAGTAGCGAGAGAAAAGAGGTCAGGACTGACTGACACAGCGACTTCTGTTCTGTCTCATAATGCTGCTAAATTAAGACGTTAAAACCAGAGAGCCACGCTTTCCAATAATTTAGACCGGAGACATGGGAGAAAACTGATTACTTACAAATTCGCAATCAGATTACGATGGCGCATGTGAACATGTTCTCCAATTACAGGTATAAGCTGGTTTCTTAATTGTATGTAAACACAATGATCTACATGAGCAAAAAAGACAGCATGTCCCTTTTGTTGGAAAACAGTTGCTTGTATGTCAACTTTTGTGCGCAGACCTACACAGATATTAAATAATTATGCATCTTTCATGCTGGAGACATTTAGAAGGACCTGACAAACAGAGCTGAAAGTCAGAGGATTTATCTGTGGGTGTGGGTATGTACACAGCAGCCCAGAAAAACGCAGTATTTGTAGTATTAGAACGCGTGCCAGCAGCGCCCAGCTTTTAATCCTTTCCGACAGCGATACTTTGCCGAGTTATGCCTCGGCTCTACAATAAATTTTCCTGATGGGCAGAAAAATGTCTGCAATGTGGTGAGTCAAAGTGCCAGCTGTTCATGTTGTGCCAGGACAAAGTGTTGAGGGATCGCGCCCTCGAGTCAGCCAACAAATCTGAGTGTGAGCTGTTTGTTGGGCTGCAACTAACAATTATTTTCATTATGCATTCATTCTTTTCTTCTCTGCTCAATAAAGTATTTTGCTTGTTGCTACTTCACTTGAATGTTTGGCCTTCACTTTGCAGAAAAATCTGCTCTCAGGTTCATGTGCAGCAGCAGGACAGTTTCTGTGTGTTCACCTTAGGTATGAGTTTACATCCAAGCATGATTTGTGACATTTACTTTGGAAACCAGTCACAGTCCAACATGTAACTTACACAAAAGTTATGTTGTAACCTCTATTTATACAGGGATTAAAAAAAAATTTTTTAGGGAAGCAGGAGACATCAGTTTTTTGCATATTTACAGACTGAGGGTTTTTGGCAGGCAAAACGTAGGTGTTATTTTAAAAATAAATGAGCAAGGTAAACAAACTCATTAAAAGCCATATCAGGCACAAATTAGGATCCAAAGCAGAGCATTTTTCAAACATGGCTGGAGGGGGATCCTCAACTTAAAATCAAAAACTTGTGAAAAACTGTACATCAAAATATTCCTTTTCTTGTTTTGTCAAACTAACAGTCTGAAATTAAAAGATTTAGATTGGTTATTAACTATCAAAATAATCGGTAATTATTTCGAAAATGGATTTATGTAATTTTGTAAGGAAAAAAATGTAATTCCATCTTTCATAATGTGAACATTTTCTGCTTTGTTTCCTCCTCTATGGCCGTAAACTGAATATCTTTGGGTTGTGGACAAAATGAGACACTTGAGGACGCCATCTTGTGCTTTTGCAAAATAATGTGATTTTTTAGCACTTGAATATTTCAAAGACTAAACTACTAATGGGCGGATGTGGGCAGCTGTGGCTCAGATGGTAGAGATCGGAAAGTCGGCGGATCAATTCCGCCCTGTAAGCGGTGTCCTGGTTGTTGTGTCCATGGGCAAGACACGTCACCCACTTTGCCTGGTGTGAATGTATATGAATGGATTGTTTGAGGTGCTGGTCGGAGAGGGCCGTAGGCACAGAATGGCAGCCACAATCATAGCTTACCACCACTGGAATTACTGTGTGTGAATGAATAATTGACAGTGTAAAGTGTCTTTGAGTGCCTAGAAAAGCGCTATATAAATCTGATCAATTATTATTATTAATCAAGAAATTAATCAACAATAAAAATAATTGTTGCAGCGCTATAAAAGTTACTTATTTATGGAAAAGCAATAGATTCTCAAACATGAAAAGACAGACCCATGAGATCTTGAGGCCAGTCGTCTATCAGCTATAGCATGCTAGCCGGATTAACTTTGAAAGCTATGCAGACATTGTGCAAATTGTATTATCTTATAACACAGACCTAACTTACGCTACCTGTTTTATTCATTGGAAATCAGCAATTTCACTGTACACCAGCCACCATGTGGAGTTCACCCTGATCATAAATTTGGAACCCTAAGTCAGTATGTCCACTAACATTTACAAAAAAGTTTATTCAAACAACATGGCTGTGTCCTCAGTGTTGACTGTTTTTTGGTAATTTATGCTTTGTTTGTTTTTTCTTTGTTTTTCTTTGATGTGATACCAAACCTAAAGTAAACACTGAATTTTGTGTATTATTTCTATAAACAGTAGCATGTAGAATGCATTTAAGAAACACGTTTTACCAAAGTCTGGTGTTTCATAAGCATCAGCAACATTAATTGGATCTTGACAAAACATTTTTCCCTTTGGCTATAAACCTTTGGCTATAAACACAATGACAAGTTTATCACTGTGCTATTAGGAGATAGGAGAGTAGGGAGGATCATACTTGGCGTCCAGCTCTGCCTTCTCCCGGACGGCCTGCGCCATTGTCTCGGCCTCCTGATACTTCTTCCTGCTCTTGGTCAGCTCTTTCACTGAGTCCTGCAGCTCAGCTTGGACCACTGTCAGCTGCTCAATACACTGAGGATGACAAGAGAAAAACAACAGAGAATTTTACATTTATGCAAAATCTTATTCCGGGAATGCACCACCTGAAAAACATGCAAATGCCTCCAAGCCATATCAACAGAAGATGAGGGGTGAGTGATGACATAATGGCATGTGTTACGTACAGGAGGCATAATGGCATCACCCAAAAGGTGAGGGCAAACAAGAGCAGCATTGTAGACTGCAGGTGGTGGAACATGGCCAGCAGAAGCCAGAGAGCAGCGCTGGGTACATTTCAGCACTGAAGGAGGCCTCAGACCGTATGATCAGGAAATAGGCTCCATGCAGCACACCAAATTATTGGGCTGATAGCAACCCTTAATGATAAGAAGACTTCTGTCCTCAAATGGCAGATTATTTATTGCCGTTTATCAGAATGACGCTTGTGGTTTACATGAAGTTCCTCCTGGTTGCTGACACTGACCTGAGGACAAAGAACATGTGAATATCTCTACCACTAAGACATCACTATCATGATGGCTTTTATTAGGGACAAACGCCACGTTCCAGCTGCACTACAAAAGGAAACCGGTCCTCTGTTATCTGACATGTCTTTAAAAACAATGATAAACCTGCTAAGTGAGGGCATTTTAAGGACAACCTTTTATTGCCTTATGTGATCACTCATTTTACTTCCGCAGTCTGCCCTTTTTAAAATGGTTTATGCATCTTGTAACTCTGATGTAGAATAGAATAGAATACTTTTTATTGATCCCCCATTGGGGGAAATTTACATGCCACAGCAGCATCCAAAAATATAGAAATTACAAGAAAATAACAATTTTGTTATGTGCTATAGAAGTAAAGTTTATTATTACTTTTTTGACCTTTGTATGCATTTCATACTTGTAAAACGCTTCTTCATGTACATATACACTTCAACATTTTCACATCTTTGCAAATAAACGTAGCAGTGGTATTACATTAATTACATAAAAGAGAAACATAACCACAGCAGGGTGTAGTAAAAGTAGCAGAAGAGAAGTAAAAATACTACACTGAAAAATGCTACACTGTATTGTGCCCTGATTGACCACAGGTCCATAGAAATATCCATTTAGTTGTATTTTAGGTGTGACATTATAAGGCCCTCTTTAGCCCTTTCTTTCCACTACTTTAAGTTTGGGGGTTGTGGTTGAAGCCAAAGCAACTTTTTCCGCTACTAAAAGTTCGATGATCACTCACTGTATATGTCAGTGAATCAGCAATGCATCCTGAGAACAACATTGTGTTAACTAGTATAATGACCAGAGCATTATTTTATACTTGTTCAGTTCTGACAACAGAAACTGACAAATATGAGAATGACAACTATATCATGAATTCATCAGTGTTACACCATCTGTTTGACGTAAGGAGTTAAAATTGTGAAAGTCACTTTGTTCCTGTTGTTGTGTATGAAACAGGAAGGCAGCTGATTCCTGTGCTATCTCCGTTTCACTTCAGCTTTCATCGTCACAGGTGACAGACATCGATACTAGCTACTACTAGTAAATGAGTCTCTTAGTCATATTTTATTCTGTATTTGGCAACAACAATGTCAGTATCGTGCCTTAATACTCTCTACACATCAGATTTAGACCAACTTCCCTTTTGCCCTTTAGAAAACAAAGGCACACATCCTGACTTTCATCAGTGCAGATGTGCACAGAGTTTTAAGGACAGAGGTGAGTGAAACCTGAGCAGAGTTGTGAGACTGATCTTCATTACCTTCCTCAGCTGCTGCTCCTTCTGCAGTCGTGCCATCTTGGCTGGATCGGCGACCTGGACTTTGTAGTTATCGCAGGTGCTGATTCTAGACTGGGTGGTCTGGACTGTGCCCTCCAAATAGGCCCTCCATACACAATACATGTTCCTAAACCAAACACAAATACAAACACACAGGATTTTAACAGTGAGACATTTTCTTGCTCTAATGAATGCTAAGTGATTAGCCATTGAGCTAGGCCTGCACAGCTAAACATAATAAGATAATGATCTCTGCTCAAGGCTCTATGTGAACGCAATTCTGTGTTTACATTAGTAGGAAGACCCATTGCATTAAAACAAACGCTCCTAATTTCTCTCTAAGCTACATCAACAATAATTAGTATGGGCTACTGAATGTGGAAGAAGGAGCTTGACATCACTGTAAATACAGCTAACATGTAGGGCTGCAACATCTCAGTATGGGTTAATCAGATTGTTTAATGAATAGTCAATAATCACTTTGTTTAGAAGTGACACAGAATAATGATAGATGTGTATTAGAATTTGCCACAGTTCACAGTTCTAGGTGACATCTTTGAATCCTCAACCAAAAACCTCGAGATCCTAAGGTTACTACTATGTGTGACTTTTGAAAAGTTGGATCTTACAATTTTTTGGCACTTTTGTTTAAAAAAATATGAAGGATTGCCCATAATGTCATTTGCAGTCAGGCTGAACTATTGAATAAAACACAAGCAAAACATCTTGGGTTTTTTTTTTTTGAGCAGTAATGACTTTATCATGTCTGCCCCTACAGACTGGATTTATGGTCAGACAACATTGAAAACCCCCTCCCTTGTCAATTTCTGCAGTAATTCCTGAAACAGAAACATTCACACTTCAGGCCGTGACTGGTCAGCTGTCCAGAGATGAGCTTTCTTTTATTAACTATTTTTGACACTTTTCATGTGAATCACCTAATGCAACACGATGGATGTTTCCCTGGAGAGACAGTCTCAAAGTGTATGCCATTATTCCTCTTTTTAACTCATATTCCATCTCATTCCCCATTTGTATGACCACCCTCCACCCATTTTACTCCACTTATCCAGAGTCAGGTCTCAGCGGGTCATTCCAGATGGCTCTCCCTCCCTGGATTATCCTGAAGGGCTCCCATGCCAGATGATATTTGTAATTTTTTTCAGCAGGCTCTGGGTCTACCCTGGGGTCTCCTCCCAGTTGCCTGGAGAACTTTCAAAGGAAGTCACCCAAAGGGGATCCTAATCAAATAACCGAACCACCTCAGCTGGTTCCTTCTGGTGCAAAGGAGCAGCAATTCTACTCTCAGCTCCTTCTGGACGTCTAAGCTCTTCATGGTATTTCTGAGGGTGAGCCCTATTGTGGAAACTGGTTTCGGTTGCTTGTATCTGCGACTTCTCTCTCTCTCTCAGTCACTACCTACAGCTTTTGACCATAGGTGAGAGCTGGAACGTAGCTCAACGGGTAAATCGAGAGTTTGACCCTCTAGGTCAGCTCTCTCTTCACCATGAAGGTCTGGTACAACGTTCACATTACTGCTGATGCTGCACCAATTCGTCTCTCCCGTCACTCAGGAACAAGATCCTGAGATATTTACACTCTTTTGTGTGACACCCAGCTTTTCAAAACGACTACACACTTGTGACTTCCCACATATTCAAAGGTATGTCTGCTTGAGAACCAAACCAGATGGTTTGTTACACTGAACGATCTCAGAAGTCATGCTACGAAACTGTCTGACAAAGGACAGCACTTTCAAAATATATGTTACAACATAGGTGACTGGATGAACCATCTGTTCTTTGACTATATATCAAGGGCTAACGCACACCTAAAACATACCATAGCTGCCAGTATTTCCTCATAGGAAAGGCTGGTGAGACGGATTCTTGCATGCTCTTGCAAATCTCATAGGAATCCAGCTGCCTCACAAGGCAACCAAGATCTGGAACCCTGAGGTCAATTCAAAGTCTCCACAACCCAAAAATCTGACAATCTTCGGTCCTATTCTTGTTAAACTGCTATAAAATGTTTGCTCTTTCTGTTATTTTAATGCTGTTGAAACAAACAAACAATAGAAATCAGCTTTTTTAGCAGCATTTTTAGCTGTCAGGAGCTGATCAAATTTTCTAGAGCACATGTGTGGAATGTGGCTGCATATGTGTCGCCCCAAGTGCAGCAAGCGTGATGCCACAGTTTTGGAAAAGTTGGTTTGCATGAACACTGGATTAAACACTATGAAAGCAGCTTACGTTAACAACTTCAACTTTGATTATAATTACATTTAGCTGATGTAGTTACTGAACTGATAGAAAATAGTATTCATAGTATCTGGAAGAAGAGAATATGGGCTGCGATACACATCCCAATGTTACTAAAAGGGTCGTTGGAGAAAATTGTGATCTGTGGAGTAATAAGTTTATTTTGCCCAGAAATGTGCATCCCTACTCCAAATTATTGCTTAGATAATATAATAAAAACAAAAAGATTCCTCGCAATAGTGCAAACAAGCTTCTCTTTGAATGGAGAACAGACTTTACCTGTGATCTGCTTGTTCTTCTGTCACACTCTCTGGCCATTCCCTCTTCAGATACTGATTTGCCAACTTCTGCAGAGCCTGGAAGAGAAAAAGTGAGAGACATAAGTGTGGACGACCTTACACCTTTGACGCAGGGTCACATTTCCTGTGTCTCAGCTTTATATGGGACATGCTCAGAAGACGGTGACCCTCGCTGACCTTGTCTTATAAACCACTGCCATGAAGACAGACACTTGAAGAGACTCAGGAGACACAATTTATTTTGTCCTCCAGGTGCAGACAGAGGCAAGTCAGGAAAAATAAACTTCTCTATGACAGCTTTGAAGGGTTGCAAGGCGGTGCAGTTGGTAGCACTGTTGCCTCACAGCAAGAAGGTCACCGGTTCGCGTCCCAGTGGGGGCACCGGGATCTTTCTGCGTGGAATTTGCATGTTCCCCCCGTGCAGCGTGGGTTCTCTGGCTTCCTTCCACAAGGTCCAAAAACATGTTGAGGTTAATTGGTGATTCTAAATTGTCTGTAGGTGTGAATGTGAGTGTGCTTGGTTGTCTGTCTGCGACCTGTCCAGAGTGTCCCCTGCCTTCGCCCTAAGTCGGCTGGGATAGGCTCCAGCCCCCCCGCCCCCCCGCAACCTTAGTGAGGATTAAACAGTGTATAGATAATGGATGCATGACAGCTTTAATAAACACCCAACATTCGCGGCAGCAGAATGAGATAGATCCCACAGATTTAAAATCCATGCTCATTAAAAAGTCATTTCTGGTACGTTGTAGAAAGATTTCACTGTGATTCAACACTGCATGGACTCGTTCACCTGTTAGCCACAGCCTAGTTTGGAAGCTGGCTCACTTTCTGGTTTTTATGCTGACGTAGGCTCATTTTTTAGCTGAAAAATGTTATTTATTTAGCCCACATTCACCCGTGAAGATATATCAGGTTCCTCCACCACAGCCAACAGTGAGGTTAACCTTTGAATAACTAAAATAGCAGGACAGAATGAACAGCAGGAAAAAATGTGTATGTTTGGTATGTCAGAGATGTTGTATGTACTAAACTGACAGGAAGGAAGCTGATATATTTTTAGCACTGAACAGATAATCCAAGCAGGACTGACTAACAATTATGCAGACTCATAAATGTTACCACTAATTGGCTTAATTGACCTGTTTTGCTTTGTACTAAAGTATAAAATTATTTTGTTTGTGCTCAAAGGTTTAAGCCAAGATTATCACATTCAGAAGTTGTTGGGAAAAAGGAATCATAACCATAATTATTTGGTTTAAACTTCAATAAGTCGAACAACAAAACTACTAACATGAGACAGATGTGGGCGAATGGATGCTGTCGAGGTGGTTTATGGGAATTGTAGGTCTTTGGAGCTGGAGTTGTGCAAGAAGCTGCACAGTATAACTTCTGTGTCTCTGCTGCATTTCTGCTAAACACTTTATAAAGTTTATCTTTTAAAATACTCAATAAATAACACATGAAGTCCATGCAAATGACAAGACATGTATAATAATGGCTATATTCATATGTGATATTTAATTAAAATGGGACAACAGTAAGCAGAAGAGCAAGAGATATATAATAGTGTTTCTGTTGGCTTAGTTTGCATTTTAAAACTTAATTGCAATTATATCCTTATATAGTTAATATATATCCTTATATACTTAATATCTTATAAATATATATAAATATTCATAGAATTCTGACAATTATATAATGTCTAAGACCTCTCGACTTAAGAGGCAGATCTTTTCTCTGCAGCGTGATGAGAAAATTACAGTCATGATTGTAAATGCATCTCATATAAAAAATTCAATAAAATAGGCTCATTCACAGTGTTGTATAGTTTCTTAGAATATGAGATTACAGTTAAGTTATGTCTATTGCACACTGTATCTAGTATGCAATGTTTGCTAAATAGGAGTGACATGTTAACAAATTTCTATTACAACGTTTGTTTGCACTGGTATCCAAAAATACTCAGCACATCATTGCTGTATGTGACAGTATAAATAATCCACATAAAAAGGCAGAAAGTTTACAAAGTTACTTCAGAATTCACTGACAGATAAAGAAGATTAATGCTATCCCTGAAAGAGAGGCAGCATGTGTCATCACTCAGGTGGCCTGTTATTGTTAAGCTCTTTGACTTTACATGATGTTTACAGAAATTGCTCCAAAATACAATTTACACTACTCACAATAAGTTAGGGATATTGTTATTTACACGAGTGCTTTTCCTATTTGGTCTGAATTTTAATGAAATAAGTAAAAGTTCCGGGCTGCAGGGTGGCGCAGTTGGTAGCACTGTTGCCTCGCAGCAAGAAGGTTGCCGGTTCGCGTGCCGGTGGGGGCACCGGAATCTTTCTGCATGGAGTTTGCATGTTCTCCCTGTGCAGCGTGGGTTCTCTCTGGGTTCCAAGGCTTCCTTCCACACAGTCCAAAAAACATGTTGAGGTTAATTGGTGATTCTAAATTGTCTGTAGGTGTGAATGTGAGTCTGCTTGGTTGTCTGTCTCTACGTGTGGCCCTGCGATAGACTGGCGACCTGTCCAGGGTGTCCCCTGCCTTCACCCTAAGTCGGCTGGGATAGGCTCCAGCCCCCCTGCGACCCTAGTGAGGATTAAGCGGTGTATAGATAATGGATGGATGGAAGTAAAAGTTCCCTTTGATATTACTAACAATGAATGAATTTTCATTAGTTTAATATTACCCCCAAAATTTAAACAATAACAAGGATAGCCCCAAATAACAAAAAATGACAATGTCAGTAGCGGGTGTTTCCACCTTTTGCTGCAATGACAGCTTGACAGCGACGTCTCATGCTTCTCACTAGCCTCATGATGTTGTTCTGAGGCAATGCGGTCCACTCTTCCACAAGCGCTACACGCAGTTCTGCCAGGTAACGTGGGGATGGAGTACGGTCATCCAGTCTCTTCTTCAGCTGGTCCCAGACGTGCTCTATGGGGTTCAGGTCAGGGGACATTGCTGGCCATACCATATGCGGCACTCCCGACTTCCTGAAGTCGAGTTGTGACAATTCTGGCACGATGTGGTGGAGCATTGTCATCCATGAACAGAAAGTTGGGGGTGTGCTGGCGGAACTGGGGGATGATGATGGGTTCTATGATGTCTCTGAGGTAGGAACGTGCAGTGACTGAGCCATCTACAAAAACCAAATCTGTTTTGCGCTGGCTGGTGATGCCTGCCCAGACTGTTGCAACTCCTCCACCAAAGTGAACCCTGGGGACCATGTTAACCTCATATCGCTCATATCGGCATATCGCTCACCTCGCCTTCTCCAGCAACGCTGACGACCATCATTTCTGTGCAAGGTGACTCGACACTCATCAGTGAACAGGACGGTAGACCACTGCTGCATTGTCCAGGTCACATGGTCTTGTGTCCACTGCAAACGTTCACCGCGGTGTCTTGGTGTCAGTGGAGTCACCTGCAACGGTCGTCGGTTGCGAATGGTTTGTCTGGAAACCCGAGTACCCCTCACATCTCGTAAACGGGACTGCAGCTCTGTGGCACTCGCATAGCGATGTCTGAGTGCATAGGTCCTGAGGTACTGGTCATCGTTGCGGTCGGTCGGCTCTTGGGGCCCCACTCCTGGGTCTGTCACGAACTGTACCAGTAGTTCTGTGTCTTGATGCAAGTCTGCTGATGACACTTTGAGACACACCAAGTTCACGAGCAACATCAGACTGCCTGCTACCGACTCGAAGACATGCTATGGCCAGGTGGCACTGCTCGTCCGTTAAGTGACGTTGTGTGTTCATGGCTTTTTGAACGATGAACTTGAAATGACTTACTGACAATATCAGCTTTTTATACCCACAGAATGTTGAAATTGGTGCCACATTGAAAAGGGTTGTCTTTTAGTTTTTTGGTACTGGCCCCAATATGTAAGGCACACTGTACACAGTGAGACCATTACATGGAAAACACAAAATGAGGTGTGTCTATCACCCCAATACAATAGCCTCCCTGTCCCAGAAAACTCTGAAGTGAAACAAAGACTGTATGAAATTCACTGAGTCTCTCACAATATCCCTAACTTACAGCTTAGCTTGTCAGCTCCAACGCTATTACAACATGAAGCTTCCACAGCTGATTGTATTGTGGACTGGCAGGTATTCTGTGTGATCAGTGTGATTTGGTCACACATCTGTCTAAGTTGCAGTGCTGCAATAACTGAGTGGAGACCAGAGGCTTCTCAGTGCACAGCTGCCTCGCTAGTGTCCAACAATGCACATGAGGCTAAAGGAAACATTGATAATTTGCAGTTCAGTAAAACAACCTGGTTAGGGTTAGGGTTAGGGTAGGGCTACGGGATAGGGTTAGGGTTAGGTTTTTCAAATCTGTCTCGATAGCTTCCCCTGCCGTGCCCAATGACAAAGCAGTTTGGGGTAGGAAGTAAAGGCAATGCACTGGCCGTCGCACGTTTTCATTGCTCTCCGTTCACCTTGTTGTAGGTTAGTGTCATCTTGTAAACCACTTGGGTGATTTCTGATGTGTTTTTTTTGGTTAGGGTTAGGTTTTGGAATTGGTGAAGGGAAGACTTGTAAGGCAAGAGGCCATTGTTCCCCTGGTTGCATTCCCTGGTCTCGGCTGGAGTACAAAAGTACAAGAGAGGATGTCCAGGGTTAGGGTTAGGGTTAGGGTTGCCTGCATAAGTCTCTGCAGGCACATTGAAGTGCACATTGAATGCACATTTACCAGAAGTAAATTGTCACCCTCTGGGAAACACTGAGATATGATAAAACAGCCTTCATGAAAGACTGTTTTTTTGTTTTTCTTTTCTTAACGGGCGCTGCAGGAGACGGCTGCCTCTCTAGTTGCTTCGCAACATCGAGTGTTTTTTTCCCTCGTTTTTCTTAGATAATTTTTGATATTTTTCTACTTTTCTTTTTGTTTTTACATATTCTATGGATACTTATAACTTTTAATCACCCACAGGAGCCAGGAACCTCATTTTTTCTTGAGACTGACTGGCTCTAAAGCCTATGGAATACGACATCATATCCCAGCTGAGCTGAGGAGGTGTTACCAGGGTAGCAAGGCTGGCGCTAGGCTGAAGGCTAGGCTAACAGACTGGAGGCGTTTCAAACCATCAATCCCGACGGTAATTATGGGAAACGTAAACGCCTTGCAGAACAACATGGATGAGCTGTCGGTGCTGATCAACCAGCGTATCTACCGGGAGTGCAGCTTGTTCATCCTCTCGGAATCGTGGCTAACCTAGCTAACACCGGACGCTAACGTGGACCTGCCGGGCTACAGTGAGAGCGGACAGAGACACGAAAGCATGCGGAAAAAGCAGAGGTGGGGGTCTCATTATGTACGTTAACAACCGCTGGTGTAACCCAAGTCACGTTTCTGTCAAGGTGGTTCTGTGTTGTCGGGATTTAGAACTGTTAGCTGTTAGCCTGCGGCCATCTTACTTGCCACGAGAGTTCAGTCACGTGATCGTGATGTGTGTATACATCCTCCCGCGTGCCGATGCAGCCGCTGCCTGTGAGAAGATTCACACAGTCACAGCAAGGCTGCAGACACAACATCCAGAGGCACTCATCATCGTCTCTGGGGACTCTAATCACGCCACACTGAACTCTGCCTTGCCTGCTTTCCACCAGTTTGTGAACTGCCCCCACCAAAAAACGGACAATCGACCTCCTGCATGCTAATGTAGGGGACGCATACAGAGCCACCCCCCTCCCCCCACTTGGGAAGTCAGACCACAACCTGGTCCTCCTACAGCCTCAGTACACCCCTCTGGTCAAAAGACAGCCGGCCACAACATGCATCATCAGGAGGTGGTCTCCTGAGGTGGAGGAGGCCCTGAGGGACTGTATGGAAACCACCTCTTGGGATGTTCTGTTTTCCCCCCATGGCGAGGACATTGAGGGGCTGACCCACTGCCTGACTGACTACCTGAACTTCTGTGTGGATGTAGTCTCTCCTGCTAAGACTGTTCGTGTAACCTGAACAACAAACCCTGGGTAACACAGGAGGTCAATGCTGCACTCAACAGGAAGAAGGTGGCCTGCAGGAACAAAGACAGGGAGGCAATCAGAGCATCACAGAGGGAGGTGAAGCTGTACCTGAAAGAGGCCAAAGACACCTACAGGAGGAAGGTGGAGCAGCAGCTGAGGGACAACATGAGGGAGGTCTGGCAGGGTGTGAATACCATCACGGGCTTCCGAACAGAAGCCAGAACAGCAGGGCGGATGGTGGGGGAGGCAAACAATCTGAATGCCTTCTTCAATCGGTTTGACCAGCCCATGACCCCCCCACCCTCACCCTCACCCTCACTGCAGTCCCCCCTCCCCCCTCCCTCAGTGTGCCTCCCTCTCAACATCAAAGCTGAATGACTACCAACCGGTCACTACCTGCCGTCACTCACTTCACACCTGATGAAGACGCTGGAGCGGCTCCCCCTCCACCTCCTCAGGCCTCAGGTTCAACCCTCTATAATTTGCCTACCAAGTTGGGGTGGAGGATGCTGTGCTGTACCTCCTCCATCGAGCCCACTCACACCTGGACAAGGGAAGTGGCACTGTGAGGATTCTTTTTATGGACTTCTCAAGTGCCTTTAATACCATCCAGCCCCCGCTACTGCGGGGAAAGTTAGAAAGGATGGGAGTGGACTCGTGCCTGGTGGACTGGATCTCCGACTACCTCACTGACAGACCACAGTATGTCAGACTGAAAGACACCACATCTGACACTGTGATCAGCAGCACAGGGGCCCCTCAGGGGACAGTGCAGGCCCCTCTCCTCTTCACCCTGTACACCTCGGACTTCTGTTACAACTTGGAGCTGTGCCACATACAGAAGTACGCAGATGATATAGCCATCATGGGGTGTCATCAAGGATGACAGAGAGAGTGAGTACAGGAGTCTGGTGGACGACTTTGCTGTCTGGTGTAGAGAAAACCACCTGCAGCTCAACGCCTCACAGACAAAGGAACTGGTCATAGACTTCAGGAAATCTGGACCATGCCCACGACCAGTTCTGATTGAGGCACATGAGGTTGAACTTGTACAAAACTACAAGTACCTTGGGCTGTGGCTGGACAATAAGTTGGACTGGACATGCAACACAGACTACCTGTACAAGAGGGGACAGAGCAGGTTGTACTTTCTGAGGAGGCTCCGGTCGTTCAACATCTGCAGGAAACTCTTGCGGATGTTCTACCAGTCGGCGGTTGCCAGCATCCTTTTCTACACCGTGGTGTGCTGAGGCAGCAGCACATCAAAAAGGAACGCATCGAGGCTGGACAAATTAATCAGGCAGGCCATCTCTGCAGTGGGCATGAAACTGGACTCCCTGGTGACAGTGGCAGAGAGGAGGACACTGAACAAACTGCTGGCCATCATAGACGATGCCAGCCACCCTCTGCACACTGTCATCATCGCCCAGAGGAGCCAGTTCAGCGAAAGGCTGCTCCTACCCAGGTGCAAAACTAACAAGACCAAAAACTCCTTTGTCCCCCCCGAGCCATCAAACTGTTCAACTCTGAGCTCGGGGGGAGGGAGAGGAGCATCAAGCGGGGAGAGGTGGGGAGCGAGGGGTGAGGAGTGAGGACATTGGGGTGAGATAGAGCATCATGCTCTATCACTGGACTGTGTGCAATATTTAGGCACTTTGGCACTGTTACTGTATCGATTATTGTTGTTGTTATTATTATTACTAATCTAATGTTGTGTTTTGTTGTTGCTCATACAACAATTTCCCTGAGGTACCCTACCAAAGGGATCAATAAAGTTCTATTTAATCTAATCTAATCTCATCTAATCTAATCTAATCTAGACTGTCTTATTGTTAAGACTGTGGCTCAAAACATGGTTGAGAACAATGCTTTAGGTCCTGAGGCACCAACCAAATTTAAATGTAAAAACCAAACACGCAAACAAACAAAAGGAAAAAAACTAACTATGACAAAAAACACATAAGAAATGAAAAACATCCTGTGCTGTGACCGGTTGTCAGAGCAGAATTTAAGTGCTGAAACTGAACGGAGAAAAAAAGGTAAACTGAAAAAAAGAACAAACTAAAACTAAATACTGCCTTATAATGCAGCCAAAGAAGAGCTATTTTTCCCTAACAAAATATTTAACTGCACTTTTATTCCTGTTAAATATCAATTACCTCAAAATAGACATTTTCTAAAAGTAAGCTAAAGACTGTACTTTTGTGAAGTAATCACATATATATTTACATCTAGTCTACATATATACATTTGTCTGTAAAGCCCTTTGAAAACCCTTTCCGCATGAAAAGGTGTCATAAATTATATTGTTGATTGCTTCTGAATATGTTAAGAACTTACCAATGTGGAGGGGTTATTGCAAGTAAGATGCAGTGAAAGATTTGGGGTTAAAAAGTGAGTTATAAACAGTGTGTATGCACCCTGGTGATGATGGATTTGAGAAATTAGCAAACTTACATTTAGAAAATAGCTACTGCACAGCTACATACTCATTATGAATGAAAAAAGGTCTATTCCATCTCTTTAAATGTCTTATTTAGTAAAAATCACAGGACTTTGTGTTCATCCTCATGAACAGAAAAGAGTCCAGAGAAATAATTTCACTTGCTGCTTCAGATACAAGCTGCCTTTCCACTTAATGTTACACTTGTTTTAAAAAAGACACACCGCTTTTTATTTGTTTTTTGTGGCCTGTGGCAAGTAACTGAAGTGCCCATCAAGGAAATGAGCCCATCTATCCTTCCTCTGTCCGCTGTGAAAAGACAGGCCCTGTTATGTGGTCCTGAGGCGGGCTCGGCCGGGGCTCTGAACTCGTTGGTCCTGGTGGTCTCGGTGCCAAAGCTTCCAGGCTGCTACAGACCCAGCCATTGTGGGCTTCAGATAGAGAGAGAACCGCCAACTGAGCAGGCCTAGCGGACACGCCTGAATAGTGTGATGGGAACAAGGGAAGGGGAGGAGGAGGAGGAGGAGGGATGCGAGGACGGCAGAGGAAGAGC